CGCCACCATGCCCGGCTAATTTTTTCTATATATATTAGTTGGCAAATTAATTTCTTTCTATTTATAGTAGAGACGAGGTCTTGCTCTTACTCAGGCTGGTTTCGAACTCCTGACCTTGAGCAATCTGCCCGTCTCGGCCTCCCAGAGAGCTAGAATTACAGGTGTGAGCCACCGCGCCCGGCCAATTTTCTTGAATTTTTTGAGATCTGATTTGTGGCCTAGGATGTGATCAATTTTGGAGTGGGATCCATGGGCTGCTGAAAAGAATGTAAATTCAAGTTTGTTTGGGTGGAATGCTCTATAGAGATCTGCCAGACCTTTTTGATCAAGGGCTTTATTCAGGTCCATTATATCTTTGCTTATTTTCTGTTTGGAGGATGCTCTGATAATTATGAGAGAGAAAGAGAATACAAACAGACATTCTATATGCTAGGGAATGAGCTCCTGAAGTCCCTCATGGGGCCGCCCCGCCACTTATCGGTGATGGTATTGGAGTACAATACAGGAAAACACCTAACCTAAAGGCCCCACAAAGTATACATTATTACAGTCTAATTGGCTCTGCTACCTGGCGTATTGGGTAGATAGAGGCTACTTAACGACGCTTGCCGCTTCGAATCTTCTGTTTGGGTTGGATCTTCCTTTTCACCATTATATTAAATCGGTGCCATCTTATCCATGTTTTACTTTTGCTATTTTAAAGCTCATATTATCTGCAAATAGTATAGCTACTCCCAGCTTTCTTTTGACTTCCGTTGCTGACTGATGATAGTTTTCCATCCTTGACCTTTCAGCTGGCGCGGCATCTTTGTGGGATTAGAATGTGTTTCCTGAGACACAGATGCTAGGGTTTCTGAACAATTTTTTTTTTATTTTAGCATATTATGGGGGGTAAGATTTTACAGGTTTCATAAATGCTTCCCCCCTCCCCACAAAGTCTGAGTTTCCAGCATGACCATCGGCGCTAGATATGTGCGCATATCACTCGTTATGTATGTAATATACCCCCCCCTCTCCCCAATACCCTAAGTTTGTGCAATTTTAATCCACTCCGTCCCAGTCTATGCTCTTAAGAGGGGCTTAAGCCATTTTACATTTAATTGAGAGGATTGAAATTGGACGGAAGATTACATTCAGTGATGTTTCGGGTTGGAGTCTTGTTGTCCTTTGTCTTACACGTCCTTGGGCCTATCCCTTTAGTTGCCAGATCTAAAGAGTCTAATAGGATTTAATTCTTTGATGATTGTTTAACTTTGGCGGAGTGGTCTCCTGCCTTTCTCCAGCTTGGAAATCGCAGGTCTTAAGAACTTCCTTTAGCCCGGGTGGTCTGGTCTTGCAAAATTCCTATCACGGATTGTTCTTGTCTGAGAAGGACTTTATTCTCCCCCTCATGAGATGACCAACTTAATTTTGCCTAATAAAGAATTCTAGGCTGGGCTTGTCTGTTTTAGAGTTAAAGATAGTAACCAAGTTCCCCTCCTGGCTTAATATAGGTTTCAGATGGAAGGTCTGCGTTAGTCGTGATAGGCTTACATGGTTCATTTGCTGTCTTTTGTTCGCTGCTCGGCAGAATTATTTCTTATCACGTTTAACTTTGGTCAGCCAAAAACCACCGTGGTGAGGTGAATGCCTTCGTTCACATCGAGTCTCCCCCAAGAGTTCTGTGTGGCCTTCTTTGTATTTGGATCGTCAGGATTTCTGGCAGTCCTGGCATAGGTTTTCCTTCCAGTATTCTGTGAAATAACTTTTTCCAGCCCTTGTGAGATATTTGTCTTCCCCTTCCGGAATCCCATTCAGTCTGATATTTGGTTCTTTTAACTAATCACCACATTTCTGTCAAATTTGGTTCTTGTTTCTTGTTCGGTGTTCCCTGCTGTCCTCTGATTTTGTTTACGAGCGATAGGCAATAATCTTCCAAGTTCTGAGATTCTTTCTTCATGCAGTGGTCCATCCTGTTCTTTAGCCTTCCACTCGAATTTATTAGATCCTTGATTGCGTTTCCTTCATTGCCCAGGATTTCT